AATGTAGTAGCAGTAAAACGTTTTAAGAAGAAAGTTGATGGTTTGGAACAGTCGACACCAGCTCTTCTTCTAACTTTTGAAACATTAGTCCTTCCTGAATCGGTTAAGTTGGCATGGTACCACCTCAAGGTCAAGCCATATGTACCAAACCCTATGCGGTGTTTCCACTGCCAGGGTTATGGGCATGGAGCCAACAATTGCCGTTTTAAGGAAAATGGACAACCAAGAGTGTGTGTGAGGTGTGGTACAACAGGTCATCAAGGAGATGACAACTGTCCAGGTCCAATATGCTGTTATCACTGCAAAGAAGATCATGAAGCTTCTTCTAAGCAATGTAAAAGGTACAGATTTGAAAAAGAAGTATTGGTAATAAGGAACAAGGAGAAAGTTAGTTTTGCAGAAGCAAAGCGACGTGCCCGTGTGCTATTTGCACAGCCGGGTAAGTCCTTTGCTTCAGTTCTAGCCTATCCTCCTTCCCGCCATCCCTTTCCCTCCAATACTTCTAATACCACACACTCTGCCACTACCGTTAAACATCAGTCCTCAAATGCTGAAACTGATTCTGGTGAGTTGGTCCACCAGAAACGAAGTAGGAGTGATGGGTCTATTGAGGAGACTCCTCCTCCCAAAGTAAGGTCTTTGGAGCCATCAGTTAAGGCTCCAGAGACCTCAACGGTGACAGCTCCAGCTGCCACCACATCCACAGGGGCCTCTACTGCTAGGAAGAATGCCCCTGAAGCAAAGGCTCAGGCACGTCCTTTGCACAGGCAGAGGAATCCTGAGCCTGTTCAAAAGACTCCCCATAGAGTCGGGTCTTTGGAGCCACCAGGCAGGGCTCCAGAGGCCACTACATCCACAGGGGCCTCTGTTGCTAAACAGAATGCTCCTGAACCAAAGGCTCAGGTCCGTCCTTTGCCCAAGCAAAGAAATCCTGAGCCTGTCCAAAGAAAGCCTGTGGAAACTAGTTCCACAGGTAAACAAACCATCAAAAGGTTTTCCCAAGATGCTGGAAAGGGACAGCCTAAAGGTGTGGGGCGGACCTTAACCACAGGTGCTGCCAAACACCTAATGAAGTAACTTGTCAACCTGAAGAACTGGATACCCTAATCCAATGGAATTGTCAGGGAATTCATGCAAAATGGGAAGAACTGCAACATCTGATAGCTTCTTGTAATCCAGTTTGTGTATGCCTACAAGAGATTATGATCAGGGAAAATCGTTTAATTTCCCTGAGAGGATTCCAAGTTCAAGCCCATTATGGGACCTTTGATAATGGACCTCATGGAGGAGTAGCAGTGATGGTACGTCAGGATATTCCCTTCCAGGCCATCCACCTTCAGACGACACTGCAGGTGAAGGCCGTGAGAATAGGCTTGACACGACCTTACACTGTTGCATCCATCTACCTCCCTCCACATAATCTCAACATAGATGATTTGGAAGATTTACTTGGACAGTTGCCTCATCCATTTCTACTCTTGGGAGACTTCAATGGTCGCCATCACCTCTGGGGAGACACTTTGTGCAATCCTCGAGGAAGGGCCTTGGAGTCTTTATTCTCAAGAGTAGATGCAGTTTTACTGAACAGTGATGCACCCACACATTTCCATATTCAAACTGGGACATTCTCCAATATTGACTTGTCAGTTGGCTCACCTGATTCCCAGTTGAATTTCACTTGGCAGGTCATGGAAGACTTACACGGAAGTGACCACTTTCCAATACTTTTGGAAGAGGTGAATGGCATTCCAGCCATTGGAGTGCGGAGATGGCGACTTGAACATGCAGACTGGAATCTTTTTAGATCAACTGCAGTATTGCAAGGATCTGTGAATGATTTCCAGTGTGTTCAAGATGCTGTTAATCACTTCACATCGCGGATTCACCTTGCAGCAGAAGCATCAGTTCCCAGAAGTAGTGGGCAGTACCGTCGACCTCCGGTACCATGGTGGTCTGATGAATGCCAACAAGCTGTCAGAGCAAGAAAAGCTGCATTAAGGCAGTTGAAACGACGCCCAAGCGATGTAACCTTGATCCAGTACAAAAAGACCCGAGCCAAGGCCAGGCGAGTGCTAAAGGAGGCTAGACGGACATCATGGAGGCAGTATGTCTCCTTGATTAACTCTGGGACCCCCTTAGCATGGGTATGGGACAAGGTGCGTAAGATCGCTGGAAAGAGCACATCCATATCACCCCCTGCTCTGAAAATAGATGGCATAATCCTCACAGACAAAACAGATGTTGCAAATGAACTGGCAAAATCCATGGCAGAGATCTCGTCTGGAGCATCTTACACTGCCCGTTTCTCCACTCTTCGGGCTGAACAGGAACGACACCCAGTGTCGTTCTTCAGTAGCACTGCAGCAGAACTTCCATACAACTTGCCATTTTTGCGCAAGGAGATGGACTCTGCTTTGCAGCTCTGCCGTAAGACTGCCCCAGGAAGTGACGGTATTCCATACCAAATGATATCTCACTTACCAAAGAGCTCCCAAACGTTCCTGTTGGATCTATTCAATAGGATCTACAGGGAGGGAACAGTGCCATCCACATGGAAAGAAGCTATAATCATTCCTGTCCCGAAACCTGGCAAGGATGCTTCCATACCAGGGAATTATAGACCAATTTCTCTCACCAGCTGTATCTGCAAGTTGATGGAGAAAATGGTAAACTTCAGGTTGACATGGCTGCTAGAAAAAGAAAACGTGTTGACCCAATATCAATATGGGTTTAGAAAACTGAGATCGACCACAGATGCACTTGTGAGGATGGAAACTGCTATACAGAATTCCTTCACACAGCGACGCCATATGTTAGCAGTCTTCTTTGATCTTGAAAAGGCTTATGATACGACTTGGAAGCATGGCATACTCATGAAGCTGTATGACATTGGTTTAAGAGGAGCACTGCCAACCTTCATACAAAGCTTCCTAGCTAACAGGAAGTTTAGAGTGAGGGTAGGAAACAGCTTCTCTAACCTGGAAGATCAGCTGGAAGGGGTCCCACAGGGAAGTGTCTTAAGTGTGACCCTGTTTGCCATTGCTATAAATGACATCGTAAAGGTCGTTCCAAGTGCTGTCTCATGTAGTCTGTATGTGGATGACTTTACACTATACTGCTCAGGAGGAAGCTTACAGGATGTGCAAGGACACATGCAGACTGCAATAAATCAGGTTGTGCAATGGGCAACATACCATGGCTTCAAATTTTCTCCAAGCAAGACCATGGCTATGCATTTCCACAAACGAGGAAAGTTTCACCCTTCCCTCTATTTAGGAGCAAACCCACTACATTTTGCCCAACAGATAAAGTACTTGGGTCTAATCTTTGACTCAAAGCTTACATGGGTGCCTCATATTAAACAGTTAAAGGTGAAAGCTACAAAAGCGCTTAGTATTTTGCGGGTTCTTTCACACCTATCTTGGGGTGCAGACCGCACAACGCTTCTGCGACTTTACCGAGCACTTATTCGTAGTAAACTCGACTATGGATGTGAGGCATATTCATCTGCAACTCCCACTGTTCTTCGGATGTTGGACTCGGTTCATAATGAAGCTCTGAGAATCTGTATAGGGGCTTTCAGGTCTTCACCTGTGGAGTCCCTGTATGCTGAGAGTGGAGAACCACCTCTTTCATTACACCGGGACTACATGAACCTGATTTATTACACTAGACTACAAAGGATTCCTGGATCTCCTACATCCAGATTGGTTTTCAACCCCCTTGAGGATAGCCGATCCTATGGTAGGAGAATGAGGAATTTTGTGGAAGATCTTAATTTAAATCTCACAAAGGTTCTGGCTGTTGGAACTTCCCAAGTCCCCCCTTGGACTAATCAAGTCGAGCTTGATTTGGTCGGAATTGGGAAAGGGGAGAGATCCGAAGCAGAAGTCAGAGAGATATTTCTTCAACACACTTCTAAGTACCAGGGATCATATGCAATATATACAGATGGTTCGAAATCTGAAAATGGTGTGGGCTTTGCAGCAGTGAGCAGAAGGAAGACTGCATCTGGCAGTCTTTCTCGATCAGCCTCGATTTTCACTGCAGAGTTACATGCCATCCTTGCAGCAGTCAAGATGACTAGAGATCTTACAAACCATTCTGTTGTAATATATTGTGACTCTCGTAGTGCCTTGCAAGCAATCAAGAGCTTAAACTCATCACATCCAGTGGTGAGGGAAGTTCAAGATTGGCTTGCACTGATGTCAGCACGTAAAAAGATAACTCTGTGTTGGGTGCCAGCACATGTTGGTATCAGTGGGAATGAGCGAGCTGATCAGAAGGCCAAGGCAGCTGCCGCTCAGCCTTGTGATGCTCGTTTTCCTCTCCCACACACTGACTTGAAACCCAGCATCAGAAGTTGTCTTCGTGATGAATGGAGGGAACAATGGAGGCATACCTCTAGAAATAAGCTACGAGAGATTAGAGATGACCTTGGCAGTTGGGTGACCAGCATCCATCGTAACCGACAAGTGGAAGTTGTATTAACAAGGCTGAGAATTGGGCACACAAGACTGACTCATGGGCCGATGATGGCTAAGAGTGAAGCACGCTGTGAGGGATGCCAAGAGCCATTGACGGTCGCGCATATAGTGGAGAGATGTGCAACATTCTTAGACCAAAGACGAAGGAACTTGTCTCCCCCATATACATTGAAAAATGTTTTGGGGGAGGATTGTGACATAGAAGGTCTTATTAGTTTCCTTAGGGAAACTAATATTTTCAATAAAATTTAATTATGCATAATGTTTATGCAATATTTTTTTTTTTTTTTTTTTTTTTTTTTTTTTTTTTTTTTTATTTAGAGCATAATATTTATGCTTTGGTTTTTAATATAATATTTATTGTTATTTATGACATTTATTGATAAATTTTTAACGTTTTAAATATTTTAATGTTTCAACCTAACAAGGTGTTCGCCGCTAATGACCTTAGCTGTTGACGCGGCAGATAATTTTAAATAATCAATCAATTAACCCAGGTGGACAACGAGGTGAATGGGGCTGGAACTTTATGTGAAGGTCCCTCGTCCGGCAGGTGTTCTTCGGTTCGACAACGGAGACCCGGTCGTTATCCTAGTACTGTCAGAACAAAGTGGAATAAAGAAGTAAATAAAGTAGTTATGGAATGTTTTTATAGAAGTAAACCATTTGATGAAAATGGAAAACCTAGCAGAGGATACAGGCAAAGAATGTTAGAAAATGGAGGAATAGAGGAGGGTTTGAGTCGACTGAGCAACGCATAAGGGACCAGGCCAGAGCCATCAGAAAGAACGGTTGGCTTTCAGAACTTGAGTTGGAAATGATAAAAAGAAGTGCTATAGAGGAAGAGGAAAGAGAAGCTAATAACGATGTGGAGGATGATAGAGAGCAGGTCGATAACGAAAACTTAATGGATGTCGATGATGAGGAAAATGTGGTGAATGATGTAAATGTGGAGGAAAACGATCAGCAAAATGGAGGTTTTGTTACCAAAGATAATATGTTAGAGAATATCTTGTCTGAAAGTCAAAGGGAAATCGTTGAGAACCTAAGAAACATTTATGTTGAAAAGAAAACAGCAGAAGGAATATCATTTAAAAAGGTTGATAAGAACAAACTGAAGAGAGAAATGAATAGAGTAAATCAAGTGATTCGTCATATTGAAACCAAAAACATCACAGAAACTAATGAATTGATAAAGGCAGCAACTGTATGGGTTGGAGAACAGCTAGGGTTAAAGAAGACGGAATTTAGAGCTAAGAAAGCTCCTTGGTGGAAACGCCGCATTGAAGATTATATTAAAAGCATAAGGAAAGATGTAAACATACTAGCAAGAGAGGTAAGGGGCGAGCTCAAGCACAAAAAAAGTGAAAAATTGCAGAGACTGGAAGAGAAATATCGGGTGAATAAGAAAGGTATTAAAACTGTCATTGAAGAATTGAAACAAAAGTGCAAAAATTAAGAGATACTATCAAAGGATTAACCAGTTCAGACAAAATCGAATATTTAGTGTTGACCAGAAAAAAAATTACAAGGAATTGAATGGAGGTGAAATTAGAACAAACGAGGTACCAAATGCTGAGGAGAGTAGAAGGTTTTGGGGTGATATTTGGTCAGTTGAGAAGGAACATAACAAAGGTACAAAGTGGCTGTCTGAGTTAAAGGATGAAGTTAAAGGGAGACACTCACAGGAAGCGGTCACTATAAGTATCGAAAGTGTCAGAAAACAAGCTAAGAAAATTCCAAACTGGAAGTGTCCTGGCAAAGATGGTGTCCAGAGATATTGGCTCAAAAACCTGGCCAACATGCATGACAGAATTGCTGATCAACTAAACAACATTTTGATGGGAACAGATACCCTTCCCAAGTGGTTAACACATGGAAGGACAGTGTTGTGCCAAAAGGATCCCAGGAAAGGGAATGCGGTTAAGAACTATAGGCCGATAACGTGCCTTCCACTGATGTGGAAACTGATGACAGGAATAATAGCTGATCAAATGTACGATTACCTAGAAAGAGAATATCTACTACCTGATGAACAAAAAGGTTGCAGGCGAAGGAGCCGGGGTACAAAAGATCAGTTATTGATTGACAAAACAACCCTGAAGGATTGCAAGAAAAGGCACACTAATCTGGCTATGGTGTGGATAGACTAAAAGAAAGCTTATGACTTTGTTCCCCATAGTTGGATTAGTGAGTGTATGGAAATGTTTGGAATAGCTGGTAATGTGACAGAGTTTTTGCAAAGAAGCATGTTGCAGAGGAAGTTGTCCTTAACTTCCAATGGAGAGGAACTTGGCGATGTGGATGTTAAAAGAGGGAGAGATATTTTGTCACCATTGTTATTTGTCTTCAGCATGATACCATTATCATCATTACTCAGAAAGGTAAATGTATGCTATGAGTGGGGGAAAAGGAGTATAAACTTAATCACTTACTCTTTATGGATGATTTGAAACTATATTCCAAGAATGAAGAACAGATAGACTCCCTAATACAGACTACTCACATTTTTAGTACTGATATAGGCATGGAATTTGGAATCAAGAAATGTGGAATTCTAGTCCTAAAAAGAAGGAAGATTGTAAGATGTGAGGGCATGGAATTACCGAATGATGAGATAATAAAAGAAGTGGGACAAGAAGGATATACTTATCTGGGTATTGTGGAATTAGATAAGGTGAAGGAGAAGGAAATGAAAGAGAAAACAAAAGAATATAAGCGACGGTTGAGGTTAAGTCCAAGCTGAATGGGAGAAACAAGATAACTGCAATTAATACCTGGGCAGTAGCAATATTCAGATATGGAGCAGGAATAATAAGCTGGAGAGAAAGTGAACTGAGAAGTATCGATAGAAAGACAAGAAAAAACCTGACAATGTATGGTGCCATGCACCCAAAGAGTGATGTAGACAGATTATATATGAAAAGGAAGGAAGGAGGTCGTGGCCTTATCAGTGTGGAGCATTGTGTAAAAGGATCAGAAAACAGCCTAGGTTTTTATGTGGCAAACTCAGAAGAGTTGTTGATAAGAGGTGTGTGTGCATCAGGAATCATACAGACAGAGGAAACAATGGAGAAAGAAGAATTCAAAAGGAGAAATGCAGAAGAGCTCAAGCAAAAATGGATAGGAAAGACAATATATGGGCAATTTGTTAGAGAGATGCCAGAAATGGTAGACAGGGTTAAAGCTTGGGAATGGCTGTCAAGGAGTGATTTGAAGGTTGGAACAGAAGCGCTCCTATGTGCTGCACAAGGGCAAGTAATAAGGACCAACTACATGAAGCACTATATAGATATGAGCAGCGACAGTCCACTGTGTAGAATGTGTGGTAAACGAGGTAAAAGCATACAACATATTGTTTCAGAGTGCGAGAAATTAGCCCAGAGAGAATACAAAAAGCGTCACGATAACGTGGCAAAGAAAATACACTGGGATTTGTGTAGGAAACAAGGGCTTGAGCATTCCGATAAGTGGTATGAACACATTCCAGAAGGTGTTGTTGAGAATGAGGCTGTGAAAATTCTGTGGGATATCAATGTACAATGTGATAACGTCATTCAGGCAAGAAGACCAGATGTTATAGTACTTCAAAAGGAAAAGAAAGAGACACTGGTAGTTGACATTGCTGTACCTGCGGATACGAGGATTGCAGAAAAAGAGTTAGAGAAGGTAGTAAAGTACCAAGATCTGAAAATGGAAATAAAAAGGTCGTGGGAACTGCGATGTGCAAAAGTTATTCCAGTAGTGATTGGTGCCCTCAGAAGCATTACAAAAGATCTTGAATGTTGGATTGAAAATATGGCCATTGTGCCTGAGGTTGGAGTATTACAGAAGACTGCTTTATTGGGGACGGCAAGAATACTGAGAAAAGTGCTAGAACTTTAAAGGAGAAGGAAACCTGTTAGCCTTTAGTTATTTGTTGTGACTCGCCTAACAGGAAGAAAAGCAGCAATAAGACCAGCCAGTGCAGAAATGCTTAAAATCCCATGATAATAATAATAATGGGAATGATGATGATAAGGGAATGATAAAGATAATGATAATAATAGTATTGATGATGATGATAGTTATGATAACAATGATAATAATAACAATAATGATAATAATAATAACAATAATAATAATGATAACAATAAAGATGATAATGATAATAATAATAATGGTAATAATGAGAATAAGAATGATCACGACAATAATGATAATAATAGTGATATTAATAATATCAATCGTGAAGATGAAAATAATGATAATAATAATGATATTAATAATATTAATCATGATGATGACGATTATCTGAATGAGGATTGCCATCATAATGTTAATAACTAAAACTGACAATTTCAGCCATCTCTTTACCCACTGGCAGATCCACGCACTCCTTACCTCCACTCTCTCCGGCGTGTACGCGTATGTGTGTGTGTGCGTTTGTGTAGGCGAGCAGAATAAAAAGCAGCATAAAGGGGCGGCGTCGTAAAGCCATCTCACACATTCTTCCTTGCTCGTTATTCCCATAGAACCGGAAGAAGAGAAAATAAAGAAGAAAAAAGGGAAAGGGCCATCAGCGTTTCGGAGGAAGATTAGGGAAAAACGTCAAGAAGATGGTGAAGACTTCGTTATTTTGCCTTAGAGGAGAAGCGCTTGTACAGGAGGGCGGCTCTCTCGCTCTCTCTCTCTCTCACTCTCTCTCTCCCTCTCCCTCTCCCTCTCCCCCCCCCCCCCACCTCTCTCTCTCTTTTTCGCACTCTCTCTCTCCCTCTCCCTCCCCCACCTCTCTCTCTCTCCCTCTCCCTCTCCCCCCTCCCCCACCTCTCTCTCTCTCTCTCTCTCTTTCGCACTCTCTCTCTCTCTCTCTTTTTCGCACTCTCTCTCTCCCTCTCGCTCTCTCCCTCCCCCACTTCTCTCTCTCTCTCTCTCTTTCTCGCACTCTCTCTCTCTCGCTCTCTCCCCTCCCCCACTTCTCTCTCTCTCTTTCTCGCACTCTCTCTCTCCCTCTCCCTCTCTCCCCCCCACCTCTCTCTCTCTCTCTCGCTCTCAGTTCTCTCTCTCATTTCTCTCTCTCTCTCCCCCCACCTCTCTCTCTCTCTCTCTTTCTCGCACTCTCTCTCTCCCTCTCCCTCTCGCTCTCTCCCCCCCACCTCTCTCTCTCTCTCTCTCCCTCCCTCCCCTCGCTCTCTCCCCTCCCCCACTTCTCTCTCTCTCGCTCTCTCTATCTCTCTCTCTTTCTCGCACTCTCTCTCTCCCTCTCCCTCTCGTTCTCTCCCCCCCCACCTCTCTCCCTCTCCCTCTCCCCCCACTCTCTTGATCTCGCTCTCTCTCTCTTTCTCCCCCCCCCCTCTCTCTCTGTGTCTCTCTCCCTCCCTCTCCCTCTCTCTCTCTGTATCTCTCTGGCTCTCGCTCTTGCTCTCTCTCTCTCTCTCTCTTTCTCTCTCCCTCTCCCTCTCGCTCTCTCCCCCCCATTTCTCTCTCTCTCTCTCTCTCGCTCTCTTGCTCTCGCTCTCTCTCTCTCCCTCTCTCTCGAAGGTGATTGATGACAATTGTGACAACTCCTGTGTTGAATATCTTAGTATTCAAATATTTCTAGACGGTAAATCTATCACCATCATTAATGTATATAATCCACATGATAGTGAGGTGGTACCTAAACCTCCTGACTGCATGATACATACTGATACTGTCTTATTGTGTGGGGATTTTAATGCTCGCCATCCTCTCCTAGGCTCCGAGGGAAGTACCATTGGCAAAAACGGTAAGGTTTATTATGACTATCTCCAAAATACTAGTGATCCCATACAGGGAAATTGGACTATATAGCTCTATACAATCAGCACACACTACCAAGTACTGCGGAAGTCATTCCATTCTTAGTTAGTGATCACTGGGCCTTAAGTATAACCCTCCCTTTTTGCAAAAGAACCCCACCCCAGCCACGCCTTCGATACCACCTTGCTACTAAATTTCACAATTAATTCATTGAAAGAATTGCCTGCTGGTATGAAGACTTTACTCCTACCAGCCTGGATCACTTTAATGAAACCCTCTGTCAGCAAGTTGGCAATATCATTACTCAAATACAGCCCAAAAGCCCTGCCAAGCACGGATCTTTATCCTCCAGAGGCAGACATGCACAACAACTGAACAAAGACCCTGAGATAAAACTTCTTCGGAGACTCCCACGATCTACAGCTACGAGACTTGGGGGAAAAACCCGTACTTAGCTAGAGATTTTGTATTTTTAGTAAAGAGATCAATGAGATAATAACACGAAAGCGGGAAGAAAAAAATTATGCCTTGGCAGAATCAATTGACTCCATGACAACCATGAGTAATGTATGGAAGGAAATCAGCAAAGGCAATACATGCAGTATAACACCCCACCCACATCCAGAAAGGGTAGCCTCATCTCTCCTCAATAAATGGTGTGAGGATTCTTCTCTTGATAGCCTTCCATTATCCATACATAGGTGCTACCTTAAATTAAGCCATAAAAACGAAATTGACTACCAGTGCCACCTCTTAGATGAGGCTAATGCACCATTTACAAGGGAGGAAGTCCTTGCAGCCATTAAGACTAGCAAATCCACCGCACCTGGGGATGATGGAATCACTTACGACATTATCCGACTTCTTGCAAAAGTACAGGTAAAGGGAAGAAATCCTCTTCTTGATCTCTTCAACTTAACCTACATGCATCTTGCCTACCACTTGGAAACAGGTAACCATCATTCCCATTCCAAAAAGTAGGACGGCCTGATGAATATAGACCAATTTCTCTGACGTCCTGCCTGTGAAAGAAATCTCCTCACACGTTTACTCCACCAGATCAAAGACATGATCCATCCATGTCTTTGGCTTTCAAAAAGGGAGAGGAACACAAATGTGTCTAGCACAGTACCTAAGTAGACGTAATGCACAGTCTTCTTACTTCATAGACTTTAAGGGAGCATTCGACAGAGCCTCCCCTACTACAATCCTTCATGAACTAACTCTTTTAGGAGTTAAGGGCAAGCTTCAGCTATGGATAAAGGATTATCTATCTTTAAGAAGAGGAAAAGTGTGGTATCAAGGCATCTGGCGAATTAGAATTAGGCACTCCACAAGGGGGAGTGTTGTCCCCAACACTGTTTAATATACTTATGCACTCTCTTTGCAAGCTCAATGATGAGTTAGGAAACCTATGCAGCATCACATCCTATGCTGATGACATTCTTATTCAGATGTTTGATAGGGGGGATTACGTTCTACAGAGGTTCAGCAAAAAGTGTGCCTCCCTTGGTCTCATAATCAAAACTAAGCATATTTCCAAATCTCGTAGATTACCTTACATTCCAAGGTTAGGCGGACAAACTATTGCAAGAACTGACACCTACAAATATCTTGGTGTTATGGTGGCTGCTCCCCACCTCATGTCCCATAACTCACTCTTTGCTAAGAATATTGTTCAAAACATCAAGGAACGTTGCCTTGAGCGTTTAAGACCATTGCAATACATTAGTAACAGATATGTAGGTGCCTCCCTGAGAGTCCTAAGGTTGATGTATATCTCCCTTGTTAGGTCCATGATAGACTATACAAGCCCAGTTCTTAGTATGCTGCCACCGAGTGCCCTCAAACCCCTTGAAGTTTTACAGAATAAGGCCATGAGAATTATACTTGGATGCCCAGTGACCGCAAAAGTTCTCGTCATGAGGAAAGAGTTAGACCTCCTTTCTATTCACAGTCGTGTCATCCAAGTTAACACCATACTTG